GGGGGTGTCCTATGTACCTGTCTTTTTTACCATAGAAAATAAGAAAAGAAAATAAGCGGAATTGATTTTCGAAAGTGCTGTGCTGGCTTTATGATTTTTAGTTTTGTGGTTCTGTAGTTTTGCGGTTTTATTATAAGCCGATCGATGGAGCTTCAACCATATAAGCAAACCTGCCGGCTCCACCTGTCCCGCCTTGCCTTTCCGTAACCATGCCGTAACCGCGCCGTAACCGTGCCAGTGAGTGCGTACTAAGTTTTTTCCTTAACCTGATCTCCTCTGCGATGTCGCTAGTCCGTGCTCCTCTTATCCCATTGAGCAAGCAGGCAAGCAGGCAAGCAACGTGAAAAAGCTCACCAGCGCAGCCGGCGTAGGGATAAATCCATCTCCATCTTCATGTCCATGTCCATTTCTATCATTCACTTATGCAGAGATGCGTTTGTCGGGCTCCTATGCGGCAGCGGCGTAAAAGATCTCCTTGTACCGATGCGTGGCGTCGACGACGGCTTTGATAGCTTCCATGTCGACTGCGGGGGAGAGAGAAAGAGAGTTAATGTAAATTCTACAATGTTTACTAAAAAAAAAAAAAAAAGGGAAAAGAAAAAAGACAGATAAACTCACCCTCCCGACCCATATCCAAAGCCATGAGCACCTTCACGCTCAAATCCTGGTTCACCTTGCCGACGACCTCGACCGCGTGGCCGACGGTCAGGTGGGCGTCGCGGTTCAGGTGCGCCGTGACGACGCCATCGCTGTCGATCGTGGCCGACTCGCCGCGCAGCTGCATGACGCGGCCGGTGAGGCGGATAGTGCGGTTCGTGAAGGCGTCGAGGTAGGGGGCGGTGATGCGTGGGGTGGAGGTTGGGTCGGCCATTGTTTTTTTTAGGGGGGGAGGGGGGTATTCTAGATGGGAAGTGGAAAGGGAAAGAAGGGTTGTTTGGGAGAAAGGAGGGGGGAGGTAGAAGTGGTTGGTTTTCGTCGTGGGGTGTTCGGTGTGATGATGTTGGTCGGGTAGGAAGGGTTGGAGTTGGAAATGTATGGGCCGGGTTGGATTGGAGAATGGAAAGTCGCGTTGTGAAGCGCGAGAGTCGCGCGTCGCGGGAAGTATATCACGTGAGTACCCGCTTGTTCAGACTTCCTTTTTTTCCCCTAGTCTACACGATTTGGATGGAGTTTTTCGGGATTGAGAAAGGCACAATTGGTTTTCTAGCTGGTACGAAAACAAGAGAGGTAAAAATTTTCGCTTCTGAAGTTGCGGAGAACAGAGAAAGTAGATGAATAGATTAAATGAAACTTCGCACGTTCATTTCCCCCTCCCCCCTCTTCTCTCAGCTGCAAATCAAAGCAGAAATGGTAAGCGAGAAGTCAACAAACAAACAAGCAAACAAACAAACAAACAAACTCGTCACAAAGAAGTAAGTAAAGGGAGCAAAGGAAAAGTTGATATCGCGATGCGAAATACCTCCGTTTTTTATTGCTCTAATGCAGGAGTTTTACTTTCACTTTTCTGCATTTGCGAAATGGAAGATCTGAATGTAATTTCATGCTATGCTTATCCGTTGATTTTATACATATTTTCGTTCATTGACTTGGTCTCCGACTTGATTTTGTAGAGGGGTAGGGAGGGGGGTATTGTAAGCCATATCATGTCTCATTCTGCCGTGTTTTTATCACTAGCATTCTTTTTGCTCAGACGCATGGAAACTCAATTGAGGCTTGACGTTATAATCAGAAATACGCTGAATGAAGTTGGAGTTTTGTAGTTTGTGGTCGTAATCGTGGTGAGCTTGTGCATGCATGCGTGGCTGAATGCCAACGCACCCGTGAGATCTGCCAAGTAAGCCATGAGATGATTCGTAGGCATCACAGCATCTCAGGAGTCAGCATGCTTAGCGAGCTCGCGATCTGATGATAATCCTGACTGCTTGTCATACCTACTCGGTATAACCTCTGTATAAGCTCTGAGGAATCCTGTATGATGAGGGTAGGGTAGCGAGCGATAGGTGGATTTCCCCGGAATCCAAGGAACGGAAGATCCACGCCCGTTTCCCACGAGGTGAGCCTTCTTCCCATGTGATCGTTCTGCCGTGTATGAAAATGGCATCTTCAGCCGTCCTTTTGAGAATTGAGCGAAGAGATAGAGGCAAACGGAATGCATCGTCGCAATTGGGCGAGCGGAAAATTGCCTTGCTTTATTCCCCATCCAGCACTTTGCATGAATACCCCACACGTCGCGATTTGACAATGGATTGTTACATTGCATGCGAGGCGGATGCTGACAAGTCCCTTCAGGCCAGTGACACACACCCTGGGAGACAGTATGGCTGAGGACAGGGAGGAGGACTCGTTGTCAAATGGATTTTGTTTGTTGGAGCTGCTTCGCGAGGTTGAATTGGAGGCAGAGCGGTGTGGTGATGGCGATGGGCTGATATCTGGGATAGTGTGGATGATGGCTGCAGATATCTGATGGATGGAGTTCGAGGCCTCATTTTTGGGGATCTGGACAATTCCTCATCGTGATGTGATGCATACAGCCGTAGCGAATCGAATTGTAGGGGCTGGGCTCCGGTGCAGAGGGATCCTACTTGCAACTTATGGATCAGTATAGAGCCAGATAAAAATATAGGGCGGTAGCTCCCACTATCTTCCTGATAGATGGAACACACAGCTTCCTCCTCCCGCGATTCATTCGTATCTATTCCATGGGTGGAGACTCGAACCACAGGTTGTCGAGCGGAACAGAACGTGAAGTTTCTATATCCCATTCTACTCTTGGTTCAATCTCAAGATTCCTGCGAAGATCAAGAAGGAGCAATCAAGAAGAGAGACGGGTATGGCTGCCAGTAAACTCTGATCGTAACCTCCAAATATTATCAATCAGTCCTCACTGATGAATGTCAGATCCAACAGTTTTCCAACAAGATGCCGAAGCACAGAAACCAGCGACTCGATGCCGATCAAGAGGGCGATGAGAGCACAACTGGTAGCGGCAACGGTAACGATTCGAATCGGAACAGAAATCAGAAGAATGGAAGAGCCGAGCCTCACTACGATGAGGTGAGAAGCAACGGAGGCACTTCCATGGCTACGTCGCAGGCCCCAAATGTGAGCCTCGCTACCACCACCACCAAGAATACCATTCGGCAGATGAGAGACTTGGTTAGCCTGTATGAGTTGAACGTCCAAGCAATCGAGGAGGCCGAGACCAACCGCCAAAAGATTGTGACACTAGAACTGCTATGCCAATCCAAAGATGCAGAGCTTAGGAAACACAAGATCACGGTCGAAACTCTCGGAGCTTTCAACGATGAGAAAGATGCAAGGCTCCGAGAAGAGAGGGACCATGTCAAGAGGGAAAGAGAGGTGATCGAAATGGAGCGGGAAAAGCTCGAGAGGGCCAAACAGAATGAGAAGAAGAGAAAAGAGATGAACGAGGCCATACAAGCAGCAGAACTAGAAAAAGAGCGGAAGAAGCTTGCAGCAGACCAAGAAAAGAGTTTCAAAAGCCTTCGAGAAGGCTTGGAGCAGCAATGCCTCCAAAAAGTTAACAGTAGCAAGAAGGAGCTTTCAGACTTGGAATCCAAGAACAAAGAGCTTCGAGCAGCTCTCCAGACACAGCATACCCAGATACAGAAATGCGAAGAGCAGTTGAAGCTGACCCGGACCAGGTGCGAGGATTCCGAGCTTGCCAAGGAAGCACTGAAGAAGAGAGAGCACATGTTGAAAGCAGAACTGGATGGCAGGAAGGTTGAGTTCGGACTGACGACCAAGTCGCCCGAATTCTTGTAGGTCTTTTTTCCTAGTGGATTATCTCAGTTGAAGAGAGCCCATGACTGACTGGCTAGAGTGTAGTCGGGAGAAATTCGCCGACCTGGCAAATCAAGTCAAGTCGGTATCCGAGCAGTTTTGCCTGGATCTGGTGCAACGGGAACAGGTACGCCCCCATTCCCGAATGTTTCATTTCCATGACCAGTGCTGACCGCTAACCAAGGAATGGAAACCGATCCACGACAAGCTTACAGAGCTGGACGCGTGCTTCGCTTCGGTCCCAATCTCGGAGAGTGACGACTCGAAGATGCTTCGCACCGCTCACGTTCGACGTCTCATCTCATCTAAACTGCACAAGATCATCCTGCAACCGTTCTCCTCGGACATGAACAGCCAAGGAGATAATAAAGCGTCCGTCGAGCTGCTTCGTAAAATCATGGTTTCCTTGAGCGAATGCGGTCCCGGCACTGGCAGGCACGCAGCAACAGTCTTCAGAACCCTTGCCATTCACGGTCTGCAGTGCAAGCGCGCCGATCATACTGGCACGTCGGACCACCCTCCGAGATTGTATGCTGCACGCGCAGAAGCGTTTATCCAGTCTGTGATGCCGGTTCTGTCTCTACTCACCCCAGGAACCCAACAGCCAGCTCTGAAGGATGCGCTGGTCTCCCTCGCAGAATCTGCAATCTCGGTCTGGGAGCTTGCTCAGACCGATGAGAACTTGGACATCACGGTATCGCTGGATCTCAACCCTTCGCTCGAGGCAAAATGGCGTTCGTCGGAGTTCGACGCGGGTGCCACTCCGGACGCCTGGGTACCCTCGACACTTCGTCGCATCTTCACCCTCTTCCCAACCGTTCTGGCCAAGACGGCCTCGGCCGCTGAGGATCCAGCTATGAGTATCCCAGGAGGATTCGAGCAGTCGGGCCCAGAGATGGTCTGGCAGGAAATCTGCATCCATGATGGTATCGGCCTGGCTGAAAGTTCGGCGCTGGTTTGGCGGGGGAAAGAGGAGCAAGAGCAGAGGGAGGAGGATGAGGTACAGGAGAGACTGAAACGTGAGATAGAGGATAAGAGGAGGGAGCTAGATGTTCGGGGCAAGGCGAAGTCGCAGAAGACTGGCTCGGTCTCGGTCTCAGTCTCGGGTCCATCATCGTCTCCAAGCTCGAGTTGGAGCATGGCTGGTGGAAATAGGACGTCGCCCGAGGAGTGAATATGAAGTAATTAGGGTTGTTGGACCCGCACAATACTATTTTCCTACTTACAGTATATACCCAACTACCACGACAGACGACTACAAACAGCATGGTAATTCATTGAGCTCACATAACCGCGGTCAACCACCCAATCAGTTGACTCGGTGTGATTCGGTTAGCCGTGTGCGTGGTAACGGATGAGGTGACGGCGCCGGCGGGGAGGGGGGGGGGGGGTCGGGTTGCATTCCACCCGGACCCTGGGTTCCCTGAAATGGGGTCTTTCATCTGGCCTAGCCAGACACCGTTGACCTTCCCTCAGTATTTTTGCTATTTTCCTTATAAAGAAATAACTAATTTTGGGGGGGCGGAGAGGAGGAGGGGTCGTAATTCATTTCTTTTCTTCCGCGCGTCGGAGCGCGTTTTTGCCCGCTCGCTTAGCGGCGAAAAGATTTTCCGAGTCAACAAATACTCCTGGAGCTCGGCTGAATGAATGGCGAGTGAGTGGTGGAATCGTATTTCACGCGCACGAAATTTCAAACGAAAGAAAGATGGAGGATTTATCGAGAAGAGGGGGAGCGAATGTGTTTTTAACTTACTTACCTACCATGCAAGTGCTCGCTCGAGAGCTGTAACAACAATACAACACAAACCTCGCGAGCTTTATATGTGTTTCGTCAATAGAGCAGATCTGAAGAGGTAGGTGTAGAATTTTATTTAAAACAGTATGAGGATATTAGGGACGACTAGCGATGGAGTTTATTTGACTGCTGCGCAGTTCGTAAATTCAGCAGGTATGAAAATCCATCTACAATTCCGTTCCCCCACCCCGAAAAGTCACAGTATCGTAAATTTCGAGAAGACTTTGTCAAGAAACAAAATATTCATTACTAGCGCGCCGTGATAGAGCTGGATTCCTCGCATTGCGAGAAGTGTCCGCAGTTTTTTTTTTTTTTTCTTTTTTTTTTTTTTTTTCTTAAGG